GAAACTTATGAATGAAGTGTTGGAGTGGGATGTCTGGGAGGGCGCTGTTTCCGCCTCTGAAGGCAAGATGCTCCCATGCACCTTCTTTTTCTATACCCACTAAGTCTTCTCCTACTCTAGCTTTTTTTCTTCTTGGTGTCATTCTCTCTCTCGTCCTGTTCACTGACATTCAAAGGCGCGCTCGCACACACTTCAAACCTTCAGATCTGTGTGCCCTGCCTTACCTCTAGCTAACTTTTCAACCAAACCGCACTCTCACGATGAAGGGTCTCCTCCTTTACAATTTTTTTTCAAACATTTTTATTCAAAAAGCTCTACATCCTAGTTCAGGGCGGGTACTAGTTTCCTTTACACTTATTAGACTGTGATGTGACTTGTGCTTTGACCTCAAAGCGGAAAACGTCCCCTTCTGGTTTCCCAGATATGCACTGCCACTGACTGCCACAATGTTCTCACAAATGCCAAACTTTTGTTTGGTTGCTGGAGGAGAGGGCGGGGCGGAGGAGCGAGGCCAAATGAGAGGAAAGGATAGGAGTGGGCGCCGAAATTAACACAAAAATGTACATAATCTCAGAGGGGGGGGGGGGACATAGGCAATCAATCACTTGTTATTGCAAAGCTCTTAATACTGTTTGAACAACTTGGACATTGCGTGTCCTATAGATGTGCCTAATTCGTGAGCAATTCCTTCAATACATAAAGGTGCTACGGCCTTACCAAGAGAAGCATGTGCTCTGGTTTCTCCAGAAAATGAAAGAGATTTACGTTTGCCTTTGGGTTCCCCTTTCCTTGTTTATCTCTAGAAAATAGAGAGGCACACATGTGAAATACAGTCCGAACTGGCTTTTGCCAATGCTGAGGTCAGGGGGTAAAAGTCAAGCTGATCCTGTCTCACTGGTTATCCAGAAAAACAAACTGACACCAAAAAACTTAAAAGACCATTATTTTAATAATTCATAGATATTAATTTTTCAGAAAGCCTTAGTAATTAAACATACCCTTGTATAATAGTTCAAGCGGAATTTGTATCAAATCAAAACTAAATTATAAACCACATAAATTTAAAGCTAAAAAAACCCCGAAGAACTCTTTAAAATCCTATAATTCTCATATAAGGGATGAGAGGAGAACTCAAAAGGGGTTTTTATCAATCCTGAAAACATGGATTGTGAGAAGTGTTCTACAACTCTCCAACATGCATTCTGTTTTCATGTTAACACGTCATCTGGTTCTAGAGTTTTAAAGAGTGAATGTGAAAACATGCCACACATACTATGAGTTGAAGTTTTCCTTATATTTATTCTCTTACTCGCCGTGTCAGTGTTTATCAGTTAAAAAGAATTTAAGAAAATTTTGATCAAGGTTTGACATGTAAGTGACATGAGAAAGAAAATTGATCTCAAAACTTTTTCTAAAAGCTTAAAGTAATAGTATTCTAACACAGTTGATTTAAAATCTTTGTAGCATTTACACTAAGGCATTTTCTAACAACTTTTTACAGTAGTCTTTGTTTTAGAAAAATTTCGTTTGAAGAAGTGAATTCTTATTCATTGCATAAACCTTTAGTTTCAGAAAGTTAATATATATATTGTTGTTAAGTGCCATAAAGTCAAGCATGGTTCATAGCAACCCTATAAACAACAGATCTGAATCTTGTTTTATCTTGTGCTATCCTCATCATCTCTGACATACTTGAGCCCATTGCTGCAATCCATTTGATTGAGGCTCTTCCTCTAATTCACTGACCTTAGTCCAACGAAAAGACTCCACATCTTTACTTTCAGAGAACCCAGTTTAAATTTACATCTTTTCCTTGTTTTCCAGTATATATTTAAAAAGGCACTTTAAAGTAATTCTATTATTTAGGAAATTTGGTTATATGAGGGAAATCATGATCTCAGAAAACAATAGTCCTTAGAAACCAAGAACTCAAATGGAAAGGTTTCTTTTCCCTGGTTCTTTTTGCAGTAGAAATTAAGAACCTTTTTAAAAAGAAAGGAATCTTTAAGTAACTTTAAAAAAAAATGTTTCCATGAAGAAAAAATAAGTGAACGTTTCATTCTTTCTAAGTCTAAATCTGTGTACTTTAATTTATATAGAAAATTCTGCAAAAGAAATTATGAACAAGATGTTACACTCAGCACACGTGTCTCAATGTTCCAATGAGATCATAAAACCCTTTGTTCTCTCAATTATTGTGTGTCAAAGTTCCTGTTGGTCATGGTTTCATAATAAAGGTATATTTTTACAGATTGTCAATATCAGAGAAAAAAAACTTCTTTTTTAAAACCCAACTATATATATAATATATATATATATATTATATATATATGTATGTGTGTGTGTATGTGTGTGTGAGAGTGTGTGTAAGGAATTTAATTTTTTTTTTAAGCAGCAGTAACCCTGTTTTAAACATAAAGAAATACTAAGAGAATTAAGATGGCCCTCTTTCTCTCAGGACAGTAAGGTAATGTAATATTTGCAAAGTTATCACTCAAGTACTTTCATATAGATGTTGCTTAGAAACTTTGTTCATCAGAAGTAAATTATAACCTAAGCAAATACTCAAAACTCAAATTTATTGCTGTTGAATCAGAACCAACTCATAGATAACCCTCCAGCAGGTTTCAAGGTTGTAAATCACACAGAAGTAGATTGCTCATCTTGCTTCCAAGGTGCTGCCTTTGGTTTAGCAAGGCGGATTTCTATAGACAATGCCACCAGAAGTCCCGGCAAATGGCAGTCCTTAAAAAGCAAGAACTCTAACTGAAAAGTTTCTTTTCCCTGACTGTATATAATTTTAAATTATGACATTTTAAAGGTGGTTGTTATTGTTATGTGCTGTCAAGTTGCTTGTGACTCATAGCAACCCTGTATACAACAGCTCTGAACCCTGCTCTATCCTGTGCCAGTCTTATTGTCTCTGACACACCTACTACAATTACCCCAGTCACTGAGGCAATCCATATCCTGGAGGGTCTTCCTCTCTTGTGCTGTCCATCCACCCTCCCAAGCATGGCGTCCCTCTCCTAAGGACAGGTCCCTCCTTGCAACATGCCCAAAGTATATCCAATGGAGCTAAGCCTTTATATAACTGTTTGGGTTTAAAAAAAAAAAAAGTTCCATCGAGTAAAAATAAGGGATGTTTTCATTATCTCTTTCAAAGCCTAAATGGGTACAATCTAAACAATATATAAAACAAAAAATTCTGCAGCAAAACTAAGTACAAAAGCGCCTCAAGTTTGAAAAGAACATTTAGTCTAACTCAGCAACTCTAGACTAGGATATCCTGAAAAGCAGTTATGCGGCATATGCTTCAGTACTTCTAGAGCTAGAAAATTCACTGTTGGAGGCAGCCCCGAAATACATTCCCATCCTCTGAATCTAATGCTAATCCTTGAATCCAGACTGAACACCATTAGTATTTCCTGCTCAGGGTGAACTATTCTCAAATGCAGTGGCAGCATCCTTGGAGCTTGCCCTCAGTGTCTCCATAAAATGTGTCCCAGAATTGAATGCAGGCCAGTGAGGACCTGGTATGACCAAGTGTGGGCTAAGAAAAAAGCACCAGTTAAAGACTCATACACAAGCAAAAGAACTCAAAAACACTTTAAAAAGAAAAAGTGATGTTTCCTTGTCTAGCTTCAAAGAGAAAAGAAAAATAATATTCTCTCTTGTTAGCAAGAATGGAATAATGCAGGCAGGATAGTCAAAGGCCTAACAGCTGCGAGATTTACATTTTCTAGTTTTGTAAAATTAAGATCATTTCTCATCAGAATATTTCACAGTCTTTTAGTTGTTTGTTCAGTAAAGTCTTATAGTTGTTTGTTCAGTAAAGATGATAAATTAAGCAACTAGAAAGAAACAGAATAAATATCTTGAGGGTTTTTTTCTTTTCCTGGCAGTGATAATTAACTATGAACTACTGCTGAGTAATTTTAAATTCAACATAATTTTAATTATTTACGTAATTTGAGAATTAATTCCTTGTCTGATGCCAAAAATAATGTGAAGCTTCTTGTAGCAAAATACATACACAAATTAAGTTATTACACTATAGACAAAATCACTAGTATATGGACAGCACGGGTCATGAAATATGTTACCCACATATGCTAAGATTCTAAAACTAATCACCAGTGTCTCTTTAAGAACTTCAAAGTGAAATTAAAGTTAAATATCATTCATTTAAATGTATCCCCAAAAGATGTAACAAGTTGACTAGGCCATAATTCTCAGTACTATATAAATAGACTACATGATGCTAGTGAAGCAGGATCAGAGGCAATGATGTAATGACAGTCATTCCCATGATGTGATTTGACTGTGATTAGCCTATCAGTTGTAAGGGGTTGAGGTTGGGATGAAACTCCATTAATAGGTCACAGGCCTGATTCAATGGGGTTGTTTCCTTGGTGTGGGGCCCATATAAAATGATAAGCAAACAAAGAAGAGGGACTCCAGTAACATCAAGAAAGAAAAGCCAGGAGTGGAGCATATGCTTTGGATGCAGGGTGCCACACTGAGGAGCTCTTGAAATCAGGAAAAACAGAGAATAAAGCCTTTCCCCCAAACTGGAACCCTAAATTTGCCTTTCCCTAAAACTGGAACTCTAAATTTGGACTTCTGGGCACCTAAACTGTGAGAGAATAAATTTCTGTTT